TTAGGGTCTAGGGTTTAGGGCATTTGGCAAAGAAACCTGCACAAGATATTCTTGTCTTGAGGCTTTAGGGCTTGAGGTTTTGAGGGCTGCTTTGTGTGAATAGGCGTCTGTTTCAGCTGAAGCCTGCAGCTACAGGCTGCGACAGATAACCCGGAACCCGAACCTAAACCCTAAACCTCTTAATCCCACCTGCAGGCCCTAAATTCCCAGCTTCGGCCTCTCTGTCCAGCCGACTGAGCATGCTGACAGCCTTGGGGAGATGTCGGGATTCCTTGACATTGGGGGGTGGTGGGGGGGGGGGGGGGTTTAGGGTCTAGGGTTTAGGGTTTAGGGTTTAGGGTTCAGGGTTTAGGCGCGCACCGGCCGTCAGGCAGGGCCTTTCTTCGAAAGAAGTTATAAGGTACTAGGTTGTAGTTTGGAGGCCCTGAAAAGTATCTGTGAAGAGGTACCCTCTTTAGAACCATAAGGGAAAATTTTGAAGTTTCCCAAGGTGTCACCCCGTGAGTTATAAGTTATAGCTTCTTTTAGAAGCCGTTGCGGTGAACCCAGGCCGGAATGCTGATAGAGAGATCCAGACAAACTTGGCAAGTCTATCCCTTGATAAAACCAACTCCAGAACCCAAGAGCCCGAAAATAGACCCTTGAAAACCCTATCAATCCACAACCCTAAACCCCCAACCCTAAAACAGGCCCCCACTACATCAGCGCCTGGGGGTTTCGAGGTGCGATGATGCTTGGACAGCCCGAAACCCCTAAACCCCTAAATTCGAACCCAAATCCCTTCCAGCAGCTCTCAGGAGCGGACGACGCGATGCTTGGCCGTCGGGTGCATGGATAGGTCGAATGGCATCTCCCTGAGGGTTTAGGTTTCAAGGCTTTAGGACTTGAGGGTTTAGGGGGTTTAGGACTTGGTTTGGGGTTCAGGGTTTACGACCTTTGGGTTTGGGGGTTTAAGGTTTAGGAGTTTAGGAGTTTAGGGTTTAGGGGTTTAGGACTTGGGGGTTTAGGAGTTCAGGGTTTGGGCCCGGATCGATTCGGGCTTCGGGCTCAGGGCTGTATAAAGTGCTAATGTCAGGTATGTCACAGATCGTCCGATGGGGCTCAACATAGGGGCAAGAATGCCTAACAAGCATTCTGCAGAGGAACCTCAACCCATAGCATTGTTAATTACCACTAAAATGCTTCGTGGGCGTTTCGGGGGGGGGGGGGGGGGG